TCTGGGCTGCAGCCTTAACCTGCGGGGTCTGTTTTCTGGGTGTTGTGTTCCCCCCACTGAACTCACTAGGACACAGTGAGGTTTGAATGAGCATTTGGATGGAAAAGGCTTTTGAGACATACAGGTATTGCAAACAGACTCAAGGTGACTTCTGAGGTTTTCCTCGTCTAGCAAAGGAGGAGAACTGGTGACATGGGCCTCGGTTTTCTACCCTAGCAGATCATTGGATCAGTGTTTCCATGAAGAAGCTCTTAAATGAGGAGTCTCCTTTATATAGAAGTTACCAACTGAAGGTAAGTTGTAGCTTTCCTGGCCTGTTACCATGGTAGTTATGTGTACATACACCTGTCAAAAATAAATGCAGAGAGTAGATTTGCCCCCTGGGTTCAGTCTTAGGCTGTAGGAACAGGGTGGAGGCACCTGTTGGACCCTTCCAGCTCTTTCTGTATCCCAGGCCTGGCTGTCTCACATATTGCCTTCATTGCTTAGCCCCTGTCCCCGCAGACACCGCCTCACCTGGATGTGGCTACTAGCTGTCACCTATGTCCTTTCTCTACTTATTGCTTTCTTCAGCAGCCAGAGGAATTATGAGACAGAAATACAACCATGTCACTACTTTGCTCAAAACCCCGCAGTAGTTTCTCTCTTAAACGCATGAAGTCCTTTCCCTCCTCAGGGCCTTGACACATGCTGTTCCTTCAGCCTGACATACTCCTCCTCTAGGTACCTATATGCCTGCCTGTATTTCCTTCAGATCCCTAACCTATCTGCCTGGAACAGTCCCACCGCCTGCCTCTGCCTTTATCCCTTCACCCTGCACTCTTATAGGATTCTGACACTAACCACAATGTGTGTGTTTCCCCCCCACATCACCATGAAATTCTCCTACACCAGTTGGGTGTCCTAGAGTTCAACACAACTAGTGTCAGATCCCACAGGTTAAGGCCAGTCCCACAAGGCTGCCCCTCACTTCAGATGCCAGTCACAAATCCAGGTTGTGACCTGTGCTTCCGACCGGCTGGCTATAGGAAGGAGGTTCCCATGATCCCCTCCCTCCTGGGGTTTGATTGATTTGCTAGAGTGGCTCACAGAACTCAGAGAAATGTTTTACTTACTAGATTACAGGTATATTATAAAAAGATATAACTCAGGGACAGCCAGATGGAAGAGATGCGTAGGGCAAGGTATGTGGGAAGGCACTTGGAGCTTCCCTGCCCTCTCTGAGGGCACCCCTCTCTCCAAACCTCCATGTGTTCACCAACCCAGGAGCTCTCTGAACTTTTTATGGAGGCTTTGTTACGCAGGCCAGATTGATTAAATCATTGGTTGTTGGTGATTGAATTCAACCTCCACCTCCTCTCCTCTCCCTCGAACTAAAAATTCCAACCCTCCAGTCACATGGTTGCTTCCCCTGGTAACCAGCCCCCATCCTTAGGTGTTTTCCAAAGGTCACCTCTACATAAACTCAGTGTGGCTGAGAGGGGCTTCTTATGAATATCACACACCTTTATAGCTCTTATCACTCAGGAAATGCCCAGAGTGCTAGGAGCTCTGTGCCAGAATCAGGGACAAAGATGAAATACATATTTCTTATTACAGATCACAGGATCACAGCTACCACCTCTTACCTTGGTATCTTCCTTCCATTGTCCTGCCACTCCCATGAGAATGACAGCTTTTTGAGGATAGGCACTGAGCTGGCTCTCTTCTCTGCTGTCTCCAGGGTCTGGGGCTGTGGGCTCCCCGTACATTTGTTAAATGAATGAATGAATAAATCTGACACTCTAGGAAGTCTGAGTTGGGTGGCCCAGGGCTCCTCCATCTTTTAGAGCAGGTGGAGTCATTCAGGCCCTGGGAGCCTCTCAGGGANAGGCTCCTCCATGCTTCTTTTAGAGCAGGTGGAGTCATTCAGGCCCTGGGAGCCTCTCAGGGAGTNGGGCTCCTCCATCTTTTAGAGCAGGTGGAGTCATTCAGGCCCTGGGAGCCTCTCAGGGAGTCCCACATGAGCACTCCTTTTCTCCATCTTCTGTGGGAATCTCATCTTGGGCTTGGTTTCCCTCCAAGCTGCTAAGTGACCCATTCAGTGCCTTGGATTTGGTGCCCACTGTGATATTCAGTGAGACAGGCATGTAAAACGTAGCTCAGGGCCTGACGACCCTTCCAACTCACTTCCTCCATTCCTGTCCCAGGGAGGAGGCCTCTGGATTGGGAGGCCAAGCACTGGGCGGACCCCAGGGCTGGAACTGGAGAATTTGGAGCCTGTGTGGGCAGGCCACCCCTTTGACTTGTGAGTCTCAACCTTTTGCTGCCCAAGTTGCACCAGATAACGTTCTCAGGTACTCCACACAGTGTCCTGACAAACATGGAGGGCAGCGGTGCAGCCAGGATGCATAGGTTAATCTGTGCTGGGGCTGCTGAGGGTAAGAGGACCCGTAGACTCGAATCCCTCCTTTCTCCCGCCTTGGGAGGGGGTGACAGACAATATTAATATGGGCCAGATTTGTCTGTCCTCTAAATGATAAACAAGAGTTCACATGACAGTGGCCTTTTCACCAACAAGTCATGGCCACACACCCCTGGTCACAGGGCCTGGGGTAGGGCTGCGGGCCATAGTACTTTGTCAGAGCTGTGATCACTAAAAGGCATTGGGCTTGGTGATCTCTGGGTCCCTCCTGCCCCCAACACCTGCCATATGGTTCTGGAGGCTGGGCCTGAAAGGCTGTCTTTGGGTTGGGTCTCCCACCACTGCTGCTCTCTTCCCAGGCTCTCCATCACAACTGGTGTCAACAGGTCAGGTTCATTCCCCATATGAACCTGGTGGCCTCCTGTTCAGCCATCAAAAAGTCCTCTCTGGTGCTGACAATATTGCCATCCAAAGCCTCTGAGAACCCCAGGTAAGAAGCCCCTTTCTCCGGGGGTGTCCGGGAGGGAGGTGGGTGTGGGTCTTCTTCACTTTATACAAAAGGGGCCATCCCTGCTGAGGGCAGGCCCACCTCCGGGACAGTGGCATTGCTTGTGGGCAGCACAGTGTTCTACAAATCACATGGGCCCTATGGGCCGACATTGGGCTGTGGTGGTTAGAACATGGTCTCTGGAGTCTGTTTTCTTTTTTAAAAATATATCTTTATTGATTTCAGAGAGAGGAAGGGAGAGGGAGAGAGAGATAGAAACATCAACGATGAGAGCCATTGATCGGCTGCCTCCTGCACGCCCCCGACTGGGGATCGAGCCCGCAACCTGGGCATGTGCCCTGACCGGGAATCGAAGCGTGATCTCCTGGATCCTAGGTTGATGCTCAACTGCTGAGCCACGCCTGGCCGGGCTGTTTTCTTTTTTAATTGAGACATAATGGACATAGCATTATATTTCAGGTGCACAACATAATGATTCGATACCCATGTATATTACAAAGTGATCTCGGCAGTAAGTCTGCTGAACATCCGTCACCACACACAGGTATACAGTGTGAGGAGAACTTGCTTGGAGTGTGGTTTAGTCGTCATTCTGGCATTGCCACCAGCAGCAAGATTAAACTAGGGCTTCTCTCACCCTGCACGCAGCATAAGCAGGGGCCAGAGGGCGGGCTCCGGCCCAGGCCCAGCAAGTGCGAGCTGCGTCCTCCCTGAGCCCGGCTCCTCCTGTGCAGAGGGTGATAGCCCCCCTTCACTTACCTCAGGGTTATTCCAATGAGCATGCTTTGTGTATGTGTTCCACGACTCACAGCACTTAGGGTTTTGGAGAGAGTTCCAATCAATTTCCTTCATTCTAGTGTCTTCTACCCCAGAGAAAACTTTTTCTTTCCCTCCCTCCCTCCCTCCCTGCCTCCCTCCCTCTCTCCCTTTCCTTAAAATCAGGTGTTTTTCACACAGGTGTCTACATACATTGTCCTTGTAAAAAACTAAAATGCTATAAATAAAGCTGGAATCCTGTGACCTCCCCCTCCCCTTATCAAACCCCTTTGTCTCACTCCATCATTAAAAGTCCTGATTCTAAGGTTTTAGGGTTCACCCTTCACTCGGCACGTCACAGTAGGTACTTCCTCCTGAGGGTTCTTTTGGGTGGGTTTCCCTGTCTCTGCAGTTTTCTTACTGTCCCAGCTCTTTACACCTGGAGCCTTTGGGTCTGTGACATTTTGCTCCTGAACAGGCTGAATAAGAGCTATAGCCCCCTTGTCTTGGGGAACAGCAGGAGATTTGAGGCTCGTGTTGGGGGCACAGCTGGTGAGGGACAGTGGGGAGACTGAGGGCCATTTAGGTCCCATCTCCATCTGTTCCTTCCTGACCTAGTTGTCTTCCAGAGGGAAATCCAATCCTGGGCTGGTAGGGCTAATTTAGGCCTAGTGCTTCATGTTATAGATTGGAAACTTGAGGCTTAGGGAAGGGAGGTGACCGGCTTGGAGCAGACCTTTGAGCTGGGGTTGTATCCCAGGCCTCACTGTAAGTCCAGTGTCTTGTTAACCAGAGAATTCTGTGCACATTCCCAGCCAAGTCCTGGAACTAACTGCAGGTTAGAGGAAGGGGCCTCGGAGAATGTCTGATGTGGAGAAGCTTCAGTCTCGGTTTCGTTGCTTTTAGTGGGGCAGTGGGTAGGATTTTGCTTGGAGCTGGTTGGCTGAGATTCATCTCTCTGCTTTGGAGTTAGTATTACCGCGTGTCTGTGATATGTGTTTCATCAACTTCTTGTTTTATTGAGAATCAACAGCAGGAGGCTAACAGGAGGATCACCTCACTGTGGCCCCGAAGCCCTCTGTGGTTGGGCCCTGCTGCCTTCCTGAGCACACCTCGTCTACCTTTCCACTCCAGCCACACTGGTCCCCTTGTGGTTCAAGTATGCTCTTGCCCCAGGGCCTTTGCATCACTCCTCTCTACCTGGTATCCTCTTGTGTTGTGCATATTTATGGTTTTTGTTTTTTAAACATTTTTTATTATGAAAATTTTCAAACACACACAAAAGCAGAGACAATAGTGTAATACTTTAATATCATTAGTACCTAGTCTAAGTTAATCTTTCCCCAACTATCTCAGAAATATCTTTTTACAATTATTTGGAATCAGATATAAACAGAGTTCTAGAATGGTTCTGAGCAGAGGAATAGTGTGGTCCGATGTGTAGGAGCATCCTTCTGTGGCAAGCAGAGTGTATGTGGGTAGGAGTCTAGATGGGGACACCGGTGAGGATGCCAGGGCACATATGATGGTGGCCTGCAGTCAACCTGTAGGGTGGAGATGGAGGGATTTGAGATATATTTGGGGGCTTGGTTGGACAATATATTTATACGCACATGACCACACCCCCCTTCCTTCCCATCTGAATGCAGTACACATATTGTCTGGCAGGTGGCACCATTGACCGCTTGCTGGTTTCCTCTTCCTGAGGAAGGCCTCTAGGGGCTTGGCCTCCGCAGGTAGGGCCTGGCACTGCCAATCCAAACCCTGCCTCTGGAGTGGGCCTCAGCCTCGGAGGCAGTGTGGCCTAGGCGTCTGGCTTCCCAGCAGTGGCCTGAGCTGAGTTTTCCAGGTGGTTGGAGCCAGCGGTGAATCTGATGGAGGAACTAGGGCCGGGTGGCAGGGACCTGTGCTGAGTATGTGGACTGACCTACAGCATCTCCCCCTGCTGCCCCCCTCTTCTCTCACTTCTGCCCTCACCACCTAGTCGAAGCCACTGTTATCTCTCATCTGAACTGTTTGCAGTAGCCTTGTTCGCTGCGTCCCTTCTGACCTTCCAGGCCCTTCTCTGCACAGCAGCTGTCTGTAGACCTGGTCTCCTCCAGCCATCCTGTCGAAGCCCCTGTTTGTTTCCCCGCAGGACTTTCCATGATCTGTGAATGTCCATCTCCATCTCTGTTCATTTGCTCGCTCCTGCTGCGTCCCTCTACAAGGAAGTTCCAGGAAGGCCAGGGCATCATATCTGTGCCTCACAATCCTGGCAGGGAGTAGGTGCTATTAACACTTTGGTGAATGAATGGGTGAATCAGCCTGAAATAATTCCTAGTGACCTTTTGGGACCGTTCTTCCAGAAGATTTCTCTGTACATATGTGTATGGAGAAGGATGTGTCTGAATACATGTATTCAGTTGTTCTTCCTGACATTTTGGTTTTTTGAGGGATCATTCTGCTGTGGAGTGGAGAGCAGATTGGAAGGAAGCAAGACTGGAGGTTAAGAGGCCCACTGGGAGGCTGACAGAAATGAAGAGCGGTCCCTGAACTAAGCAGAGGCCAGGGCTGTGGGGGGCTGTGGGGGCTATGGGGCATACAGGAGAGGGAGTCTCTGAGATGTGGTGGATGAGCCAGTTCAAAGGCAAGTTCAGTGGGGGACATGCAGCTCAGAGGGCTGGAGGTCTTTGAGTTGAGTTTTGGAGGGAGAGTTCCAAGTAGAAGGAGCTGGCAGGGCAGGATGTGTGGATAAGAGGGAATAGCATGTGCAAACGCACTGGGTTTCCAGGGCTGCTGGGTCTGTGAGGGCTGCTGGGCCTAACCTTCCCACAAACCCTGCCTGGGTCCCCCTGGCCCTTCCATGCCCCACTCACCCTGCCACACCTCTTTCTTTCCTGGAGCTGAGCCTCCTGCCTCTTCCTGACATGTCCACCCTGGCTCTGAATCCTGACCTCCTTCCTTACCAATCATGTAACCTTGGGCAAGCTCCCTAACTTCTCCTTTCCATGTCCTCATCATGGCACAGAGCTCATGACACTCTTCAGAGTTATGTGAGGGGTCCAGGTGGAGCACAAAACAGCACCCAGCACTGGGACCAGTGCAGAGCAAGGACATGGCACCCAGGAGCTTTCTTCCCTTTCCCTGGCCCTGGAACTCCTTCCCTTTTGATTTGTGTTGTGATTGGGAGACACCTGTCCCACCATAGTTGAGGTGAAGATCAAGCGAAGTTCGCCTGTGGAGTGAGGCAAAGGTGTTACTGTAAGTAGTTGCTTCTCTGGCTGCTTTCAACTATAGGTGGGACGCGGGTGCCTCTCCCATGAGCTGCTGGTTCGGAGCTGAGACCTGAGACTCTGACTCAGGTGCAGGGTGTGCTCCGGGCAGGGCTTCTGGGGCTGCTTCTCTCCTTTGGTGGAGAGGTAGTGACTTCGCCTGGCCTCCCTGCAGCTTATCTCCAGCTCCTCCCCACCCCAGGATCAGTGGCTCCCCTGAGGCCGCTCCCAGCCCCACAGCCTCTCTTCCTTTCTGTTGTAGGTTTTCGGTGCTGAATTTAAGAAAAGGAATTCTTTGCTTTGATTACTGCCCAGAAAAGAACTTCCTGGGTAAGTAATCTTCATGTCACACAGAAGCTGTTGACCTGGCAGAACTGGGGTGAGGACTGCTGGGGCGTAGGGACCATCAGAGCCAAGGAGGAGGCCTTGCAGCCTCCTGCCTCTTTCTGGCTTCTCCTGCTGCTCTGGTCCCCACTCATGGCCACCTGGAATAGTGTAGTAACACAGGCTGTGCTTGGCATGGAGGTGGAGGGTGGGAGGGGCAGAGGGGTGAATTGTAGCAATGTCCCCCCTCTGCCAAGCCCAGTTGGGATCCAACGCCTGGCCCAAGGATAAGGTCCCAGCATAGACCCCCAGTGACTGATACTCCTTTTTTTTAACCAGTGACCGGTGGCTATGACCCCCTCATCCGCCTGTGGAACCCCTTCTTCTCGAAAAAGCCTGTGTGGCTGATGAAGGGGCATCAGACCTCGGTGACGCACATCCTCGTGAACGGCAAGAACAGCAGCATCCTCCTCAGCATCTCCAAGGACAAGGTGCTGCCCTCATGGAGCCTCCCCCCAAACCCCCCAGCTCCTGTTCTCCTGCAGAGACACTTGGCTGGGGATAATGATCTAGCTTGGCTGCCAAGGGACCAGCAGTTGGCAGGAGCCTGAGGCCCAGGGTAATGGTATGAGCTCCCTGCCCATGGTCTCACCCCTGGCCTAAGGCCTAGAGGAAGATGCCTGGGTGGAGTCACCATGAGGGGTTGAGCCCAGCTCTGAGCAGTGCACCAGAACTGGCTTCCCAGGTGTCAGCCTGGCTGTGGTCCTGGGCCATGGCCCTCCCTTTTCTTTTTTTTTCTTTTTAAATATATCTTTATTGATTTCAGAGAGAGGAAAGGAGAGGGAGAGAGAGAGATAGAAACATCAATGATGAGAGAGTCATTGATCAAGCCCACAACCGGGCATATGCCCTGACCGGGAATCGAACCCCTATCGCCTGGATCCTAGGTCGATGCTCAACTGCTGAGCTACACCCGGCCGGGCACCCCTCCCTTTTCTGAATCTCAGTCTTCTCATCCACAGAATGGTTGTCAGTGGCTTAGAGCATAACTAGGGGTAAAAGGGCAGTGTCATGTCTGGCACACAGTAGGTATACAATGCATGTGAGCCCTTCCCTGCCTCTACCCTCCCCCAGGCCCAAACTTACACCTCTAGCTCTCCTAGGGATCTCTTCTTGACTGCTCTGGTTGTCAGGAACCAATTGGAACTTTCTCCAAGGCCCAGGGCTCCCCAGCTTAGGATCCCGTTCACTTTGCTCCTGCACAGCTACTGGTTCAGGGTGGTGCCCCATCTGCTGGGCTGCTGGGGCATTCTGGCCAGTGTGGGGAGGCAGCCAGTGGTTCCAGGTGCCCTCCATCAGGGGACAAGTTTGTGTCTTCTGGGACTCAGTTGATTGAGAATTGGCACCCTCAGTATCACCCAGATTATCATCCCCAACACATCTTCATAGTTGCTGTTGTCTGGAATTCTCTCAGCAGTCCTGGGAGCTGGGCATCATCACCACTGCTGAAGAATTGGGGATGGGCTTGTCAAAGTCCTCATGGTCAGCGATGGGCAGCCCCAGGGTATGGACTCCAAGTCCATGCCTTCCCAGCTCACTGCCCATGCCTCTAAGCCAGGAGTGTCCTGGAGGGGCTTCTGTAGGGGCTTCTCTAGGGATACTTCCTCAACCTGGGATAAACTTGAGGGGGATCCTCTGGGGACCGGTGGGCCTTTTGGGCAACAATGTTGGTAGGCACTCTCTGCGTCCCACCTGGCTTTGCTCGAGGAGGCTGGAGTGGGAGCTGTGAGGGTCTGCAAGGGCATGTGCTGTGTCACTTGCTCCTTCACCCCTGACTGTCAGTTGCTTGAGCAGGGTAGAGTTCCTGGGGAAGGCTGGAGCAGGGGACAGAGAGCCAGGCTGCGGTTTCCTCGTATGAGCCTAAGAACAGTGTCCCTCTCGCAGGGTCAGGAGCCAGAGCAGACACTTAGTGCCGTGGGTGTGCATTGGAAGTGCTTGCATGGTGGGCCCTGGCCCTGCTCACATCACAAGGCCTCAGGTGCCAGCTGCGTCCCACTCTCCTCTCTACCTGTTTTCTATCCCCCAGAATATCCGCGTGTGGGACTTGCAGGAATGCATATGCCTCCAGTCCTTCTGTGGGAAGCTTTTTGCCCTGGGAAACTGCCCCATCACTAGCGCCTACTTCCAGATGAGCGACCACACCCTCATCTGCAGCACCTACTCAGTGAGTGCTGTGCGGGAGGGAGGTGGCATCCGGGCTGCACATAGAGGGTGGCCACTGTGGCCGGGTCTTAGGTCCCACGGGACACCCAAGGAATGGTCACCGACTGTCCCTCCCCAGACTGCTCTTCATGACACAATGAAAAAGAAGCTGCTAGACTCTATGGCCTGGCCCATGAGGCTCCCATCTCTTGGGATTTCCTGGAAGAGTGTTTCTAGGAACCCAGCCTGTCACCCTCTGTGGTGCTGCTCCGTCTGCTCTTTTTCTGACCTGCATATCCTGAAAGCACCCCCTACCACCCAGGCTGAGTTAGGACCCCCTCCAAGCTCCCTTGGACCTGTGCCTCCCCATTATCACAGTCTTGCACCTCTATCCTGTCACTCTTACATGACTTTCCTGATAAATCGTGAACTTCAGGAAGGCAGGGCCATACTCGAGCAGCCCCTCTAAAGGAGAGAACCTGGAGAGACCTGATGTGAAGACCACCTGTGAGCTTGACTTAACTGGTGCTCGTGCACAGTCTGTCCTGACCTTGACCCTGGAGGACAGGACAGACTGGGAGAAGCACAGGGGCTGACTGTGCAGGGTGGGGGGGCCTGTAACAAGATGGGAGCTGAGGGAGCTGCAGGACAACCAGCAGCAAGGAGATAGGAAGATTTGGTCTAGAAAGGGGACAAGTGTGTTGTTCGTGGTTGAGAGTTAGGGGTAGCTCGACTGAGGCCTTATACCCTCTGTGGACCAGGCCACCCTGGCAGGGGACACATACATCGTCCTTGTGCCCTTGGCTGGCTCACCCCCAGATGGCAGGCTTCTTGAGATGGGAGGTTGTGGCTTCCTTCCTCTCTCCTGAGTGCCAGACTGGCTGCCGGCATTTGTTGAATTGAATAGACCTTTGAAGTTCATTTCAGGTCCTCAAACATTATCAACCCCTGCCCTTTGTCAGGAGCAGAGAATACATTAATTAGACACGGTTCCATCCTTTGAGGAACCTACGGGGTAGAAGAAGAAATAATGTCAGTAGAAAATGCAGTGTTATGATGGGCATGTAAGCTTGGTGCTTCATGGAGGGCAGGAAAAAGATCCTTAGTCTAGCCTGGGGCAGGGGTAGTAGTCAGGGAAGGCTTCCTGGAGGAGGGGACCCCAGGTTGAGGCTGTATGCTTCTCAGAAGTTATGGGGAACCTTGGACTTTGGGGCCCTAGGAACACTAGGGCTTGAAAGCCCCCATCTCAGGGAGTGGGGACATGGAGTAGGGATGAGAGGGACCTTGCTAGGCTTGGGCCTGTGTGTAGTCAGGATGCCTTGATGTCTCAATTTACTGGAAGTTTCTCCTGGGGCCAGTCAAGGAGGGCAGAGCCCTTTGGACTGCATAGCCGACTGCTCCCTCCTCATTACAGATTGGGATCCTAAAAGGGTACATGGAGACCGAGAGGCCTGGGGAACCTGGGGAGAAGACCACTACTTACAGCTTGCCCCTGTGTGCTGTCCTCTACAGCAAGATTTTTAAGCAGGTGAATGGGCCAGCTCATCTCGGGGGGCCAGCAGAAGTGCCGGGTGACCTGGGGCAGGACCCAGGCCTCCTGATGTATCCAGATCCAAGGGGCAGTCAGGGCAGGTGGCAGGGTGGTGTGAACTCTCATAGCTGTTATGGTGGTGAGGGCAGCAGGGTCCGGAGGAGAAGCAGCCTCGTAGAGGTGCTGACCCAAGGTGAGATTGAAGCTCCACCACTCGGTCAGCGCATTGCCTGGCCCCTCTGAGCCTGTGCATCCCTGGCTGCTGCAGGTCAGTTCTGCACAGGCAGCCTCTTTATGCGAATGTGAAAGGGGAAACTAGGGGTGGGCTGCTCTGCAGGGTTCCCGAGGGGAGGGGCGGAGGGGGGTGCTGTTCCTTGGCATCATTTCCCAGGGAAGCCCTAGTTTAACTTTGTCCACCATGGGAAGGGATGGAGCGCCAGGCTGCAGGCAGCACCCTGGTCCTGAGTGGAGACCTCTGGGCTGGACAGGGCAACTGGGCACATGGTTTCTGAGGTGTAGGGACAGCAAAGGCCCCTAGGCCCTCTGCTCACTTTCACTTGGACCCCTTTTCTGGCTTGGGTTCTGGGCAGGGCAGGCTGTATCTGCTGCAGAGGTGGCCTTGGGCCACATGAACCCAGAGCTCATCTTTCAGCACTTCCCTCTTTTCCTGGCTCCTGGCACCACCATCCTGCATACTTTGGGCTCCTCAGGGCCTTCAGACAGTTTTAACCCCCACCCCTAGCTTTTCTAGACGTTCTCAGCAGGAGGGTTGTTCTGAAATAGCCTCACTGCTACTGTTGATTGTAACACTTGTGATGGCAGCCAAGTGTTGCGCCAAGTAGAGTGACCATCTTTTACTCTCAACACTTCCCTTGTTAGGGGGCAGTTATTATATTTCCTGTGTGCCACCCCCATAATTAATGATGCTTCAAAAGAGTTTTTTTCTGAATTAGAGATTATTTTCTCTGGATAGATTCTGATAAATGTCAATTCTGAGTTAAAGGGGATTTCACCAAACTGGCTCCTTCTAAAACAGCTGTGCCAAGGTTGCACTGCCCTGGGCTCCAGAGTAGAGGAAGACCTGTTTTCAAGAGGGGGTTGATTCGGCAGCAGGGATCCCCAAACGCCTGTCTTCTCGGTGCATGGAGAAGGGCTAGGCTAGGCCCAGCCATGACAGGTGGAGGCCGCCCTTGGGCGTGGGGACACTGGCCTCTGCGGGAGCCCCAGACCGTGTCCTGCCCCGCAGGTGGTGAGCGGCCTTGTGAGTGGCATGGTGAGTGTGTGGGAGATCGTGACAGGCAAGAGGATGATGGAGTTCTCTGTGACTCGTGACCAGCAAGTGGAGCTTACTGCCATGTCCCTGGATGAGTCCGAGCGGTGCCTGCTCACGGGTTTGCGTGACGGAACCATAAAGATGTGGAACTACAGCACTGGCGAGTCCCTGCTGAGCTTTCCCAACCCGGACAAGCTGGAGGTCAGTCTGGTCCACTGGGTGGGGTCAGGGGGCCTTGTGAGAAGCTAAGCACAGCTCCTGGGACTCCGGGGCCTGCTATTTTTTATGCCTCCCTGAAAGGCTGTACGCGTGGGTTGTGCGTCGTCACACCTCCCCGCGCCTGTGTCCTCCGGGACAAGTGAAGACAGTAATAACACCCGTCCTTAATAAGTGTTCCACAGGTGTTAGCTCCTCCTGCTTTCAGCGTGTTAGCATTTCTTACCCCACCCATGAGAGCTTGGGATTGCATTCCTAGCACTGGCGGCAGGTGCCTCAGAGCCACCCCTGCTTAACCCTATCTGAGAAATGCCTGACAGGGTAGAGGGACAGTCTGTGGGCGTGGCATAGTGCAAGGCCAGCAGTCCCACTCTGGGGTTTGAGCCTGTCACTAGCCCCTACGGCACAGTCCTTTAACCAACTCAGAAGGAGCACCTGGTCAAGCAGCCAGGGCTTTGAGCACTAGTCAGACCTTATCGCTCAGTCATTTGACCTTAGCCAAGTCCCTTGTCTGTTGTCCAGTTATCCCCTATAAAGTGGACACAGATACCGGCCCTGTCTGCCTCCTCTAAGTCCATCAACTGAGATAACAGGATGTGAAGACGCCCTGAAAAACATGTGGTGGTATCACCTCTAGAGAATTCTCATCACATGGAGAGGGTTGGCTTCTTGCTCCATACGATCAGGAAGACGCTCGGGGCTCAGAGCTGTTTTCTCTGAGGCGCTTAGAGTTCTGCTTTCTCTTCGCAGATTAGCGGGATCATCCATATGAATAAAGTGTTCTATGTGACCGGGTGGAATAAGAGAATCACTTGTTTCATGTGAGCAGCGAGGGCGGCTGTGGGTGGGCGGTTCCCCTCCTCCTGGCTTTGCGGCGGTTGGAGCAGGGAGCAGGAGCTGAGTGCTGGGCAGTGTCCGAAGCTGCCTCTGCTCGCCCACCCGCTCACGGCTCCTTAAAGACGACATGCTCCAGGCTTTGTGGTGGGTGCTGGGGATGCGTGTGAACAACAATGTTGGGTTCTCCTTCCTTCTGGAGCTTCTAGGGGGATGCAGACAACATCATTTAACAAACGACATCATTTATAATGATACAGTCTATTGAGCAGAGGTTTCTGTGGGGAGGAGACAGAAATCGGATTTAGTCTCAGGGGTGGTCAGAAAAAGCTCATCTAAGGATTTCACGGGTAGAGTGGGTTCTGAAGAGTGAGCAGAAGGGGTCTTACTGAAGCAGCAAAGAGCTTGGGGTAGGAGGGACATTCCAGGCAGAAGGAAGAAACGTGTGTGCAAGGTCCCTTCCTCCTCAGAGGGCCTTTCTAGGGCAGTGGTTTCCCCTTTTCTAAACCGGAATCCTTAACCGGACCCAAATGGCACAGCTCTGTAAGATTAGTTTACATGAAGGCCTAGGATAGTGCCTTTACAGTAGGCGCATCGTAGGTGCTTGGTAAATGAGGTCAGCGGGCAGATCTTCAGCCCTGCTCCGACCCCCGAGCGTCCCCCTGTAGCCAGTGCTGCTGCAATGGAGCACTGAGGCTCAGCTCTCAGCCCTCTTACCTCTGGCCATGTGTGCAGGTTCCACAAGACCAAGCCGGCGCTCTTGTGCCACCACTGGCAGACCTTCCACACGGAGGATATCCTGAGTGTGGCCAAGTACCAGAACCAGTTCCTCGGGACCGCCTCCTACAACGGGGACATTCTCTTCTGGAACGTCAATGTGTTCAAGCCCGTCCTCAAATTCAACGCCTCTGAGAGCCCCTTACCCTTGCTGCCTAAGAAGGTGTGGTCAATAGGAACATGCTCTTCTTTCATTTTTCTCTTAGCTGTAGGTCAAGATCACTTAGGGCCTGGGGCGGGGGGTGGAGAGCACCCCAGGAAGTAGAGAGGACGGTGGTGACTTGTTCTGGAGGAGGTCGGGAGCTAGGTAGGTGGGGAGGTGATAGTTTCTATAATTATCCTCATTTGACAGATGAGGAAACTGAGGCACAGAGAGGTTAGACATCTTGCCTAAGGTCACACAGCCAAGAAGTGATAGATCAGACCCAGGTAATCTGACTCCAGAGCCTGGGGTGCTGATCTTGTTCTCTCCAGTTGATTGCTCCGTCCTGGAGGATTCTATCTTACCCATCACCACTCCCACTCGCTGAGCTCATGGCAGGGATTCAGGAAACTCGTACGGTCTCTGTATTGCCATATCTTTGCAGATTAAAGCTGGAAGGGCCTTTGAGGTCACCTCATCCAGTAGTTTTGGTACATGTTGGAGAGAGATGCTTAGAGGCTATTATAGGGGCTTCTCCCAGAGCAGCTTAGCTTTTTATCAATTTTATACTTTGGAGCTTCCTTTAAGATTAAAAAGAGCCTCGAAGATATTTGGGAACCACTGTCCATTTTAGAGATGGGGAGACTGAGTCCCTCATGGGAACAGCCTTCTGCCTGTGGGTACTCAGGCATTAGCGGTTGGCCCAGGGACAGGGTCTTAGGCTCTGGTTTGATGCCTCTAGGGGTACTCAGTTTCTGGGAACCATGCCCTGGGCACCTGGAGGGCCCTGTGCTGTTGGAATTGGACCGGGGAGATCCTGCATTTCCCTCTGGGACATTGCTGTGCCCCAGAGGCTGCTCTCTCTTTGGCACAGGTACAAGCAGAGGACTGCTCGTTTGAAAGCCTCAGACCCAGCAAGGCCCGTGTGGAGCCAAAGAAATGGGCACGCAAAACCTTCGTGCAGCCTCTGGGCCCCAGCACCAAGATTGTGGCCAATGCCATCCTGAGGCAGAACCTAATGTCAGCCCCGCCTGTGATGAGACACCCCAGTGACCAGGAGCCAGATGAGCCTGTGCCCCTGCAGGTGGGAGCAAGAGCTGCACCAGGCGGCCACCCTCTCTCTAGCCACCTGACTTCGCCGTGTGTGTGTGTGTGTGTGTGTGTGTGTGTGTGTGTGTGTGTGTGTGTGTCCTTATATGGAGGCACTTTTTCCAGAATGCCTTTAGGTCCGTTAACCCATTTGTCTTGAGTGTGGTGGGCTGGGCAGGGCACCTCCCTGATTAGGCCCATGGTATTTAGCCCACTCTGCTGCCTCGGGCCTGAGCACGGTCCCTTCCCAGAGCATGGCCAATACCAGACCCAAAGTCTGCAAGCTCAGGGGCAGGACCTGGAGGCAAGACAACCAAAGAACCTACAACTGGAGGTTAGATCCTGGGCGACTTTCTCTCTCTTCCAGCTCATGTTGCCCCAGCAGAGATGAGCGTAAGGGCTCACCTACTTCCCCAACAAGCCTTACCTCCCTGGGGACCAACTCCCAGGTGCAGGCAAACCACTTTCCTCCTCTGAGCCCTGGTGTCTGTCCCAGGATCAACCCTTCTGGCTTGACTGATGGTCCTATTTGGCAGGGGGTGGGGAGTAGGGAGAAAGAGCAGGGGCGACTCTCCCCCTACTCGCTGGGTGTGGTTTGGCCTCAGACCCTGCAGTGAAGACAGTAACCTCTTGTGTGGGGTGTGGAAGCCTGTCAGGTTGTCTTAGCAATTGAGGCCCACCCCCATTCCTAGGGACTGAGGCTTGAGCGAGAAACCCCACCTTCCCCAAACAGACAATACCGGTCAGGCACAGGGTGGTCTAGAACTGGATCGCGATGACCTACAGGACTCAGTTCTGCTGTCAGGGGCAGATGCTGGACGTCACTCTAAGGCACTCACACCATCTCTGAGTATCGGGGCTGTACCACTGTATTCAAATCTCCTGGAGCAGTGGCTGCCCCCCCCCACCCATCCTCACCTTTAGCCAGGGTATCTCTTCCAGGGCAAAGGAAGGGTCTTCCCCAAAAGCAAACTCAGGTCTCTTAGGCCCAGGATCTGTTAGACACCCAGCTGTACCTTTCACAGGGTGGCGTATCTGCTGAGTGGGGCTGAGTGGCTGCTCTTTCAGCATCTGCCCCTGTTCCCCATAGGCCAGGAGACCCCCTTGTGATGACCTGGGAGGCCCATTTTGCTTTCCAGAAGTATTACAGCGCTGGCAGTCTCAAGCTGTTGAGAATGTACTATGGCAGACAGTCACTCCTCCAAGAGACGGAAAGGAAAAACGGAGAGCTGCAGAAGAAGCAGTTCCTGCAGTCTAACGCATCGGTGGAGAAGGTTGGCCATGCTCAGGCAGGGTCTGGGGGGTGAGCGGTGTGAGCAGTGGGGTGGGGTGGGAAATGCAGTGCCTACAAACTTGGGGGTCTGGGGCCCAGCCTGGTTTTTCCCCAGGGCCTGGAGAGGCCCGGTGGAGATGACGGTACTGCTCAGGATTTGTTTGCAGGGCTGCTGCTTCTGGGGGAAGCTCTATGGATATGGGGGGTTGTCTAGGGAGGTGAGCAGTGTCCCCTCCTGGTTGGGGGGCTGGAGTGGGAGGGAGGAAAAGTGGCATTTCCAGAATCCACTGTTAAATGCCTTGCTGTGCTCCGGTAGGGTGTTTTGTATGACATGTGAGGGGGACTGGGTCATCTGTGTTCTCACTTCTTCCTGTACCTTTCTCCTGCCTGGCTCTGGATACCCATGGCTGTGCTGTCACCTCTGGACGGGGTCACCCCTAAGGACCCTTCCAGCTTTAATCTGCAAAGATAGGGTAATTTAGAGACTATATGGGTTTCCTAATTCCTGCTATGAGCCCAGTGAAAATCCAAATCATAGTTGTGTTAGGGTATGGCAGGGCTGTCCCCTTATCCAGGGACCAGGGCCTCGAGCAGGGGAGCAGTGCCCTGCAGAGCCGGGTCCTGTGGGCTGGAGCGGAGATCTGCTCGTGTCTGGACATTCTCTCCTCCAGGTTCTGAATGAGCTTTCCTCTCTTTTAAAAGTTTTAAAAATCATGCTAGTTGGTAAAAAGAAAAAAAAAAGAAGAAAAGAAGAAAAAAAAGAAGTGTGCATAAAGCAAAAAATAAAAGTCCCCTGTGTGTCGTTTCTGCCTCCTCCCTACCCCCTGCCCCATCTCGTCCCATCCCAACAGTAATGGTCACCGGCACTGATAACGGGTAGGTTTAGCCTTTGCCCTTTTTATTTTTAGACCAGTGATGTAAACTTATATCTAAATTATAGCTATGTCCTGCCATTTGCTGTTTTAAAAAAATGTAATGATACATCATGGCTGTGTTTTTACATCAGTAATCTAGAGTCAGCTTATTCTTTGACGTTTTCTTACGCTTTCTAATCATTGCATGATGCCCCATAGTTTGGATGTATCATAAACTATGAAGACAGTCTATTCTTGCATGCCTATTTGATAATTTTAAAATATATGATAAAAGTCTTTACAGATAATGCAATTAGAAAAAAGCTGGAAGGAAATTCATTAATATCTTAATGGTGATTATTTCTGGTTATTGGGATCCTGTGGGTGATTTCATTTTTTCTTTTTGGCCTGTGCTGTCCACACTTTGTACAGTGCACAAGTACACTTGCACACATGGGGAAATGCTTGCTTTTGTCTTTGGTTTAGGGCCTCCTGGTTTTGTGACCCTGGCACCTGGGTCAGTGGGAAGCAGGTTGAGCATTCTGTTTTGCACCTCTCTGATGAGGATAAATGAGATTTTTGTTGTCGTTGTTGGGGACATGTTTGGGGAACACATAAGCCACCACACTGTAGTTTCTGACGCAGCACAAGTCGGGACGCCTCCTGTTTCCCCTGCCTGGCTGATGTGCTTTATGTCCTTGTGCTCTCCCTGCCTCACGGTGGGGGGGGGGTCCAGGTAAGCAGCTCTCTACACATGCTCGTCATACACAGTAACTCCCCGCTGTGGCCCCCACATGAGCCCCAGGAGTGACGTGTCAGGTGAAAGTGAGCACAGGGGGGAATTAGCAAAGGGTGTGATCCAAACAAGACTTGCAGAAGAATTTGGTTAAAATGCATTTTTGGCGATTGGCTGGAAAATAGAAACATTTCACTATAGTGATATATGAAGGGGAAGGAACTCATCCTCCAAGTAGAACTCAGCTTCCAGTTGAGTTACAGGTCTTAGAAAATCTTCTTTGAGACTTAGGACAAATCAGACTTGTACGTCTCCATTCAACAACCATTCATTGATCATGTGCCATGTGTCAGGCACCGCTGTGATTGCCCACCGCTGTGACTGCTGAGGATAAAGCCGTGAACAAAAACAGACACAAATCCTTGCCCTCTAGGAGCTCATAGTTCAGCAAAATGTTCCTGGTTACCAGGGAGGTAGGAAGTATGGTGTCCCGTCGCCACCCTCACTGGGCATCTGGGAACCAGGTGGGTGTGGTGACCCTCAGTGACCTGTGACAGCGCCACCGAGCAGCCCACCTCTCCCCCAGATTATCTTCCTGCAGAGCAGGCCACGCCTGCCGCAGACGGCCGCCCTGCTGAGCAGCTGCATCGACGGCCACATCTATGCCTGGTCCATCCACGGGAACGGCGGCCTGCTGGGGAAGTTCCCCGTGGACTCCAAAGACCCCGGGGACGTGGTCGTGGGCGCCATGGCCACTGACGAAAATGACTGCATCCTTGTCACAGGGGATAGTAAAGGGCACATCAAGGTGAGGAAGAACTGGCATGGAGATTGGGGGGCTGCTGTCAGCCAAACTCTAGCCACCCGTTTGCCACAGGTGGCCCTGGCCTAGTCCCTACTGCCTCTGGGTATGGTTTCATTTGTGGGCGGTAGGATGGGTTACCTCATAAGTCCTCTCCTGCTCTGGTGTGCCCAGTGAAATGAGTGAAGGTTTGGTTCAAAAGGCCCCTCCAAGGAGCCTTCCCCAGTGAATCCTGTGCTCTGCCATTGTCTCCCTACAACCCCTCACCCTTCAGCCATGCATCTATCTGTGATCAGTTGTCTCAGGACCTGATTTCATGTTTTGTGGTGAGACACAAGGCACGAGTGTTTTGTCCTGGGGCCAGTCTCACCCTCTCTGCATGCTAGCTAAGGGGTCTGACCTAGAAGATCACTGGGGCCCCTTCTGGCCCTGAGCATCCAGGTGTCTCAGAGGTGTAAGGACTGCCCCGCTGAAGTGAGGGGAAGTGGTCTGTGAGGGGTCCACAGAGTGCGCTGCTGCTGGGGTGAAGTGGTGCTGGGCCACTAACTCACAGTTTGTGCCTAGATCTGGGACATTAAGGATTACTGCGTAGTCACCAGCAGGTGGTCATCTCAATCCAGTGGATCAAACAAGCTCCAGTTCTTAACTCCTAAACAGAGCGAGGTCAGCCACTCATACAGCATCCTCTTGGAGGAGAAAGAGGTAGGAAGAATACTGGATGGTTGCTCAGAAAAGTAACTTAGAGCTCCGTTAATGAGCTGGGACCATGGTTCTCATATTGAGATTCTGAGTCTATCATGTTTTCTGTTCAAGGTTGTCTGACTGATGTGGACAAGTTTTTGTCAACCAGAAGTCACCATTAATTAGTAAAACACAAGTATGGACGCATCAAACACACCCACATGCATACACATGTGCATGTACACACACACATGCACACACAGACACCTTTCATGGGGTTTGATTGTTGCAGTGAGATCCCTGAAGTTGTGCATTCTTTTTAAAAATAATAAAAATATTTATGTATTTTCTTGAGTGGATAATGCATTTACAAATATCAAAAATTGATATTTCCCTGATGACTAATGACATCAAGCACCTTTTCATTAGTTATCAGGAAATGCAAATTAAAGTCACAATGTGATACCACTACACACCCACTAGAATGACTAAATCTAAAAAGACAGGCAATACCAAATGTTGGCAAGGATACAGATCAACTGGAATTTCTACTGCTGGTAGGAATGCAAATTGGTATAATCACTTTGGGGAACTGTTTGGGGAACTGTAGCTACTAAAGCTGGATGTGCCTATTCCATAATCCAGCAATTCTACTCCCAGGTTTACACTCAAGAGAAATAAATGCTCTAAGAAATATGAATAAGAATGTTGAGGGGAATACTACTTGTAATGACTTCACATTTGAAACAACAAAAATGCCCACCAATGTAGACTGGAAAAATAGATTGTGGTGTATATACTGTCCAGAATAATACCCCACACTGGAAATGAATGGCTTACATCTATTCACTACAAAATGGGGAATTCTTCAAACAATTTAAGTGAAAGAAGTCAGGCACATGAGAGTCTGTATTGTTTGTTCCATTTATGTAAAGTAAAAAACAGATGAAACAAGCCTATTCTATTAGAAGTGGTTATCCTTGTGGTTACTGAACATTTCTGACTCACTTCTCTCCTTTGTGAAATGGTGAGACTCATACACATCCTATAATGGTGTTGTGTTCAAATGGAATAATCTGTAGAGAGGCCACTGGTAAATAATATAGCGATATGTAAATGCTTTTTATGATTTTACCAAAGGGGCCAGTGAGGGCCAGGGAAGTGCTGGAACTTATCTAAGGTCACCAGAAAGTTAATGTGGGAATGCATCTAGAACTAGAACCCTGGCCCTTGTCCTAGGGTCCTTCCAGAGGGTTCTGATTCCTGGGCGCCCTCTGTTGAGCCTCTGTGATGGTCTTGCTCTAAGTAATTCTCCTGTACTCTCTCTTGTAGGTCGTGGCTGGCAAGACCATTTTCCTGGCTCCCCCCAAGCTTCTGATGAGCTGGAATGGCCATTTGGATAGTGTGGCAGACATCCTGTATGTGGACAGCTACCAGCTGGTGATCAGCGCTGGCCAGGACCAGGATGTCAAGGCTTGGAGACTCTCTGGCGATGCCATTGGTATGGGTCCTGCTGAAGCTCAGTCATGCCCCATGGCTCTTCCTGTCCCTGTCCCTGTCCCTGTTAGAACATAAATTGGCATAAGCCTTATATCCCATGGGATGGGGCTTTTAGGCTACAGCAGCTTTGTTTGTTCAAATAGTCTTACAGGATATGAGTCTATCCAATTGTTATTTCTGCAGTATGCCCGTCAACTATCTGTCCGCCCATCTACCCACTCACTCTACATTATTACTTGCCTTCGTATATTTTTGCAAATCATATATCTGATAAGGTATATTCCTTTCTCTTCTTAAAAATAAACTTAATTCTTACATTATAACATGCATAAAGAAAAGTGCCCAAACCAAAAGGGTTCATCTTGGTGAATTTTCACAAAGTAAAGATGTACCCATATAGCCACCATCATATCCAGAAACAGAACACTTGTTGGTGCTCAACTGCCGAGCCACGCCCGGCAGCAGGCTAATGGCCTGCTTCTTACCACACCCTGCCCCTGCCCTGCCCCTGCCTGAAGTAGTAGGACCCATGTCTCTCTGTTCCACTGTCTGCTTTCGACATCAGTCCTGCTCCTCCCAGCCCCACACCTGACCTCATGTCTGATGACACCTCGTCATTTTTTACCATTGCCGTTTCATACGTTAGTTACCTAAAGCCCAGCTGAGGCTCACTCCGTCACTGCCATAACACTCTCTCCACTTCAGCCTATGTGTGAGGCAGGATGCATTAGGCCTGAGCTCCAAGTATATACTAGGGCTAGTGTCTGATTCCTCCAGCTATTTGTTGAGTAGCCAGCATAATGCCTGACATATGGTGGGCATCATGAAGTGTGGGCCAAGGGTAAGGGGTTGCTGGCTGACTCAAGGGTAGAGGGTGAGGGGCAGAGGGTTCAGAGAGGGAGGTGAGGCCAGTCATTGTTACTGAGCTGGGTCTGGTTAAATCCCAGGTACATTTGGCCTGAGTGTTTGGAACAGGCTGCAGGATGCCCAGATGCTTGGAGATCATGAGCTACATCCAAGCTTAAGGAAAAAGATTCCCTCCATACACGCCTCCAGGAAGGCTCATTCAGAGCTGCAGTGAGTTACCTGGTCTCCTCTGGTCCAAGGATACAGGTGCTGGGAGCCTCTCCAGGTCCCAGGCAACCTCACCTGGGTTGGGTGGTACTGGGCACATTCAGGGAGGACCCTAGAAGGCCAAAGGCTTGGGACCTGCAGGTAACTTGACTCCATAGGTGGCAGCTGGGGCCTAAGAGCTTGAGGCTCTGTTCTAGCCCAGCTCAGCTGAGAGATTGAGCAGTACAAACCGAAGGAAATATTAAAACCCAAGTCCTTAGATGGGACCCTACCCCAGAGCCAGGTTCAGATTTGCCAGTGCTGGCTTCCCTGCAGGGGCCATTTCTACACGGCCAGAGGCCCTGGCAGGAGAACGCCCAGGGCTCTGGTCCTGAATAGACGCTGGGCTCTGAGCCATGGGGAAGGCAGGCTGCTTGCTGCTTGTTTCCTCCCTAGGTCCCTCCTGCACCCAGGCCCTACCCTTACTCCTGACCGCATCTTGGATAATTTGGGGTTACTCAAAAAATATTTATTGAGGTCCTGCTGGTTGCCGGGCCCTGTACTAGGTTGTAGAAATTCCAAACAATCCAGACATGAGTCTTGCTCCTGAGAACTCATAGTCCACTGGGGAGATGAATACACAAACTCATGGCTACTATTCTATGTGATACGTAGTAGACTATTAAGAACAGGGATGGCAGAGGACAGTCCCCTGATTGGGTGGATCAAGTAAGGAAGGCTTCAGAGGAGAAGAGATTTTGGAGTTGGGTTTTGACTATGGGTCCTGTGGTTCCTATGCGTCTGTCAGGGCATGCGTCTTTATAGTCCGATGGGGGGATGTCAAACAGGCAGAGGCAGGGTTTCCCTGGGAGGGAGAGGATGTTTAAGTATTCCAAAGGGAGGTCCAGGTAAGGTCCCGATGGACTGTCAGGCCTCCATGGGGGAGAGCACAGGGTCATGGGAAGGATCACAGGGCTTGTTGGGGGGCAATTTAATCTGGGCTTTGCTAATGTCAGTGATGGGCCCTGGGCAGTATGGCCTCATGTGAGGAATATGAAGGTTGGAGAGGATCAGGTCGAGGAGGAAGAAACCCTCTTGAGGTTCCTGGGAGGGCTTCCCTGACTTGTGGTGTGGAGGGCATCTTATGAAGGAAAGCCCCTCACCTCAGGGAGGAGCGGGACCTTGCTGAGGCCCTGGTGTACCAGCGGCGGGAGCAGGTGGCACTCTTGGCCCTCCTGAATGGGAAGGCAGACACAGAGGCCGAAGCCTGGGCCAAGCTGCAGAAGATAACCCTGATGTCCCCATGGGCTGGAGAGCGCTCGCTAGAAGATATTGAGAACAGCTGGCACAAGTGGGAGTCCAAGGACAAGCAGGTGAGGCTGGATGGGGGACACAGGTGGTTTGATGGGCCCCAGCTCTCAGTCCTGAGTCTCAACTGTTGTCAATGACTCCTGCAGGTGAGCAAAGTCCTGGGAGCAGCGTACAAGCCCAAGGAGCGGTCACGGAGTCCTGGACTCCTGTCCACCAATGTGCAGTATGGCTTGATGAAGCACCAGGTGAGGCAGGGGGGGACTGCTCCCCGAAATGCCGGGGTTGGAGGCTCCATCAGTGCCACCCTTGTGCTCACAGGGCCCTCTGGTGAGGGTGAGGGGGAACATCCATCCTTTAACAGGATTCCAGCATGAAGCTGGTCCAAATGAATTGTTTGCCAAGGCCCTGGTTGAAGCCATGGACACAGGTTTTGTCCTTGAGGACAAGCCTCATTGGGTCTATGGGAGGACGTCCTTCGTGGGCCTGGCACCTGTCGATAGCCTTCAAAGCATTTCCCAGTCTGGCGATTGGCTTGTCAGTGTTTTTACTGCTCATGTCTCCATACTGCGGGCTGCTCCCGAGCAGACACGGGTGTCGTGGGGCCAGGTACACAAGCAGTAAGAGGCAGAGGGAATGGAAAGGGGCTCTCCTTGGGGAGAGGAAGGAGCAAGGACTTGGGAAAGACCCATTCTGAGCCCCATCCTGCCTAATGCTTGGGCAAACCCCAGCCTCTCATAGCCTCTCCCTCCTCATCTGCCATAGGGCCATTACGGGAGCTCCCTGCCTCTGTGGTGGGGACTCAGAATAAGTGAGGAGACTCCTCTGTCCTGGGCTGGGGGAGGTCAGTGTGAAAAGGGACCACTGGGCTTCCCTGCCCTCTCCTGCCGATGGGACTTGAAGCACATCTTGGCGAGTGCCAATGGGAGGTGTGGTAGCACCTGTGGGAGCTCCTTGCACCGGAGCCCCACTCGGGGTCCAGCCTGAGGTCTCATTCTAAGATGGGAAAGTCCAGTGCCAACCTCACAGGGTTGTTGCCAGCACTGAGAAGGGCTGGGTGACGAGCCTCAGGCACAGTAGGCTTGCGGGCCCAGCAGGCTGTGGTCATCAGTGACAACCAGAGTACTCTGGAGACTTCTTTGGCATGGGAAGACCCCAGGACCCATCCTTCCTGGGAGTTTGCTCTTGGCCCTGGTGCCCCCTCCCTGCCCCCACACTCCCCTGCTCTGTCCCCCACAGATCTCACCTCAGATCTACCAAAGCCTGTACTTCAACGAGCTGGCACCCACCAACCAGCATGACTTCATGATGCACAAGGTCCTGGACGAGCAGGGCTGGCTTATCCTCCTGGAGGCCCATAATACCTCGAAGGACCTGCAGCCCGGCAGGCAGACGGCCACCATGCCCCCTGCCATCCCCTCCCCTGCCTCCGTGTTCTCCTTGTCAGCCTCGGGCTCTGGGCTCCAGGCCAGTAAGCTCACCCCCCCGGGGCTCCGGTCCTCCCTTTCCCTGCAGCGGCCCTAGGCAGCCTCCACGGCCCAGTCTGCCCCTCAGTCCTGTCCCAGGTGTCCAGGTACAACCTGCAGAGACCGGCGACGCCCCTGCCAGCCGCCTCCCTGAAGCAGGTCTCCAGGCCTCTGAAGGATGCCCTTCTGTGCTCTGAAGACGGGCTTTCACGCCAGGGCCTGAAGTGGCTCAGCCTTCTCCGCTGTCCTCCAGCAGGACGACAGGCCCGCGGGTCCTGTCTGTCCCTGGTTTACCCTGCCAGGCCCAGAGGATAGGAAACTTCCCCTGGCTGTCTGCACTCTGCCTAACTGGTGACGTTGACCTAGAAAAGAAAATAAATGTTCAGAGACGTTGGAGTCCACAGGCTATGAGGTTGGGCTATAGCCCTCACCCCCCCAGGCACCGGGCTGTGTTTCGGATGGGGTCGCGTTCCCCAGCAGGGCCCTGGGTGGGTGCGGGAGGAGAGTCCCTCCCCCAGGACGTAGGTGCAGCTGTCTGGCCTGAGACAGGCTGAAGTCCAGAGCAGGGGCTTCACAGGCCCGGGTGAAGTGCTGGCTGGGTTTGATTCCAGGGTGAGCTAGAAAGCTTGGGTCAGCCGCCCTGTCAGTGAGACCAGCAGCCACCTGGAGGCGGTTGGGGCTGTTTGTCTCCTGCCCCTACTGTGGGCCTGTCCTCTGTCACTGCAGGGGACCCTGTATTTACAAGCTGTTCTGGCCCTTGTGCAAGGGGGGCTGGGAAGTGTGGTGGATGACCCCCTGGCCTGGCTCTGCCACTGTCTGGTTTTGGAGTCCCCATCATCTCTGGGCTCATTGTCTCCCTCTGGCCCAGAGGCACCTGTCCAGGCCTTTGCTGGGCTATCAGCCCTCTCGGCAGCTCCACATCCTGTTCCCGGGGATCCGTGGACTCTGGACACATGACCTGCGACCTGTGGAGAGCCAGAGTGGCCACTGCTGCTGCGCCATGGTGCCCGCAGTGCCACGCTTGCAGGGACTTGCCAAGTGGCGAAGATGGACTGCCGGCCAGCAGGCTGGGGTTCTTGGAGGTCTCTCTAATTCTTGTGTTCCCATGGCCCCTCCCACCTGGCCCAAGGTTCAGCCCTGAGGGGAGACGTGTGGCTTTGCTTGTGTCTCTCTCTCTCTCCACTGGCTTCTCCCTTTCACACTTACAGCCTGCAAGCACAGGCTTCCCTCTACTCTCTCTCAGGGAGTCCCCTGTGTCACAGTGCCTCCTTCCCGGGGCCACCATATTCTCTCTGCTGTGGGGAACCAGACCCTCCAAGGCTTGGTTCTTAGATTAAGGAGTCAAGGGCACCCAGGAACCAGGATTATTGAGGCCAAAATACATTTGCAGGCGATACCCCAATATCATCCCCGTATCCATTTCTTAGGGCTCCTGTAACAAAGCACCACACACCGGTGGCTTAAAATGACAGAGATGTATTGTCTCGTAGTTCTGGAGGCCAGGGGCCAGGTGTTGGCAGGGCCTCGCTTCCTCTGAAAGCCAGAGGTGGAGGGAAGGGTAGAGGAGGAGACGCAGTAACGACCAGGCCTCAGAAGATTTTCTTAAAGGCCTCTCTGCACAGCCCTGACCTGGAGGGAGATTCAGGGTCCCCTTCGGGCCCGGAGATCTTAACATGGTCAGGAAACGCCAACCTCTGGGGGAGCTTCCGCCTGACTCTGGAACTTGAGGAGCCCTCCCTCAAAGGTCCCAGCCCCATTACAACCACCTTTTACTGCGTTTGCCCACGATTCAGTTTAGGCACATTGCAGGCACTTAAAATAATTGTAGAGCCTGGACTCCGCCTCCTACCCAGCTGCAGCCCTCTGTGGACATGTGTACCTGGCCGCTGAGGCTGAGCTCATAGGCAGCCCCTCCAGGCACTACGGCTCAGATGCAGAGTCTCAGCCCCAGGACAAAAGGTGGGGCTGGGCTTAGCCACGGTGTGTTCGACCTCTGTCTCCAGCTGCCCCCACTCAGTCCCTCCTGGCCCAGGCCCTACCGGGCTACTGGGCGGATGACTCCAGAGCTTCAGGGTCAGAGGAGCTGAGATCCCCAGTGGGCAATGGAGGCAATTTCACATAGGAGTTGGCTGTGAGGAAGCGGGGTTGGAGGCCCCGCCTCTCTCTGGTCCCTCACAGCACCCTCCCCCTTCTCCCAGGCCCAGGTGCCCGCAGAGCCACACCTGCCTCCTCTTCATCCATTCTCTGCCTTTTGCACCCATGGTCTTAAAAAATGACTTATTTTTTAAAATATGTTTTTATTGATTTCAGAGAGAGGGAGGGAGAGAGAGAGATAGAAACATCAATGATGAGAGAGGGTCACTGATCGGCTGCCTCCTGCACGCCCCCTGCTGGGGATCTAGCCCGAAACCCGGGCACGTGCCCTGACCAGGAATTGAACCCTGATCTCCTGGATCCTAGGTCGATGCTCAACCACTGAGCCATGCTGGCTGGGCTAAAAAATGACTTATTTTTTAAAAATGACTTATTGTAGCTGTTTGCTGATTCTAAAGTAGCTCAGGCTGAGCGTAGAAAATTAGGAAAATACAGAAAAGTATAGAAGCCAAAAAAACCCCATCAGGATTCTCTCTCCCAGAGATCGTTTTGGTGCATTTTCTTCTAGATCTTTTCTCTCTCTTCCTGTGTGCTGTGCGCACATGCACTCATATCCTCAGATTCACTCCCACTCCCACCCTACACTCATTCCCTCTTTTGGTACTCACGCCCACACAACCCAGAACCTTGGCATTCGAGCTTTGCAGGTGGCATCCCTCATGTGATGTGCAAATGGCCCGTTGCTGCAGTTCCTTGTAGACCTCAACCATGAGGGCTGCCTTCAGCCCCTCCTCGGCCACCTTCTCCAGGATCTAGGGCCACTGCCATGCTGCTCTTGAGAGGAGCAGGAAAACACACGCCTCCAGTGTCCCACTACCAACGTACTGCTAACAATCAGAGCAGGGAGCAGCCTTTTATCTCCAGGGAGCAGAAACATTTTCCTGGGCCTTGCTGGGCTGAGGGGTCATGACCCCACTGGCAAACCGAGGATGGGTGCCCCTCCACCAGGAGATGGGGCACAAGGACACTGAGAGGAGTTGGGGAAGCTTTGTCCTTGGAGAGAAGCCATCATTGACCTCATTTTCTGGCACCACTTTGATATTTTTGGCACCACTTACTGAGCACGTGCTGTATTCCAGGCACTGTCCTAGGCACTGGGGACACCAGAGTGAGGAACACCAGCCCTTTCCCACTGGGGACACAAATCACTCCTCTGTCATGTGAATTCATATTCTCATCGGTTTATCCACCAGATTATCTTACTGAGCACAAGCATCAGGCATCCAGGGGGAGGCAGGTGGAGCTCATGGAACTGTGCAGATGCAGTGGGGACCAGGCGAAGCAATCCAAGAGGGCTTTCAGGAGGAGGAAGCCTGTAAGCCCAGAGCCAGCCAGGACCTATGTGTTTGCTGCCCTCCCTGCCTGAGAGGGGCTTCCAGCTGATCAAACGGCCTCTCTTTAATGCCCTGCCCTGCTCACACAACCCCTCAATGCCCAGCATCCATGCCCTCAGCCCTGCCCTGCTTTACCCTCACCTCAGTATTTGTGTGTCTACTTATCACTGTGCCCCTTCCCCCAAGGTCTGTCTTGTTCACAGCTCCCACCCCTGGTGGGGTGCTTGGCACATCGCAGGTGCTGGATAGCCATTTGTCCAATAAACACTCATAACTATTAGCTCAAAGTTTACCTCCCCTGGGAGATCTTCGGAGGCTGATCTCACCTTGGCTTTCCCTCCTTTAGGGATGTGTATCCATATTTGCTGGTCCTGGATGGACTTTGGATTGTCCCTCCCCACAGTGACTGCAGACCCTGCCTGTGAGCCCCAAGCCTTTGGTGAAGATGCTGGGAGGGGGCAGTGGATCCGACTGGCTCTGGGTATCCAGGTCTCACTCTGGATTCAATGCTGGGAGGGTCTTGATGGGAGTCGGGAAGCATGAGTAGGTCTTGGATTGGCAGGTGGTGGGGAACGAGGGATGGTGTCGGTCAAGGGACACTGAGTGGCTCAGTCGGTTGGAGTGTCATCCCGTACACCAAAAGATTGCAGGTTTGACCTCTGGTTGGGGCCCGTGAGGGAGGCAACTGATGTTTCTCTCTCACACATCTCTCTCTTTCTCCCCACTCCTCTCTAAAAATCAGTAAACAAAAAACATGTCCTTGGGTGAAGATTTAAAAAGTTCAGGTTCCAACTTCATTTTGAAAAAAAGAAGAGATACTGCAGGGACAAAAGTCAAGGGGTGGGCCAATGACAAGTGCCTGGGAGCCGGGCTGGGGGCTGCCTGGAAGGTGGGGCCCTTCCAGTCAGCCAAGGGGCTCAAGGGGACATGGGGGCTGCTGTGTATTCTGTGTGGCTGAGCTCCCCAAGGGGACACTACCACCAGCACCCACGCTCTGGGCATAAGGGGCAGATCCAGAACAGTAGGTCACCTACCCCCGGGTCACGCATACATCATGAGTCCGGTGCCCAAGGCAGCAGCCTGGGACTTGGAAAAGGGAGATGCTCAGCCTATAGTCACAGGTGAACAGTGGTGCCTGGGCTTTGTGACAGCTGTTCCAGACCAGTGCCAGCAGCTCTTTCAGGGGTGGTAGCTATGGGGTCTTCTGGCAGAGAGAACAGCCAGGGAAGAAGCCCCGAGATGGGGATGAATTGGCGGCATCTCTTGGGTGCATATGGCGAAACTGAGGCTAAGAGGGTGACTCCCTGCAGGTCACACAGTGAGTGAGCACAGGGCAGGGGTGGGGCCCAGTGCCTGGTCTTGTCACTGGTCCAGGGATCTCTGAGTCTCAGAAAAGCTGAGGCCCTGCGTGCCTGCCGCAGCCCTACCGGGCCTGGTGTCCAGGGATTAGCGGATTAGCTCAGATCCTGGGGCTCCTGGTAGGCTTATGAGAGTCCCCTTCCAGGGGCCTTTGGGGACGTTTGGCGCCCTGTACTTCCGGCTCTGCCTTGGTCACCACAGACTGCTGACT